CTAACCCCCCCCCCCCGGGGGGGGGGGGTTGGTGTGCCCACCCTCTTTAAGGAGTGGTACCCATTTTATCTACTCACCGAAGCTTTCGAACCGCTGGGTGGACGGCGAGCTGGGGACAAGGCTGGTAGCTCACACCAGCGCGGGGCTAGAACTGACCACCTCCCTTTGCCTCCATGTCTGCAGCCTCTCTATCCTGCAATGTTGCTGCCGTGGCTGCAGCCTTGGAGTAAGAGACCTCTGCCTTTGAAAAAGGGGGCTCAGCCTACAAGTATATCCACCTCGGGTTGCCAAGTCTGAGTTGGGAGATTCCTGGGGATTTCAGGGGTGGAGCCTAGTCAAGGTGGGGTTTGGGGAGGGGAGGGGAGGGACTTCAGGAGGGTGTGACGCCGTATTGACTGACTTCCAAAGCAGCCCTTTTTTCCCGGGGAACTGATCTCTGTCATCTGGAGACCAGCTGTCATTCCAGGAGATCTCCAGCCACCTCCTGCAGACTCCCAAACAGCAAAGAAGGGAGTATGCAGGCCCGTAGCTACAGTGGGGCAAAGCAGTCAGAGAGTGATTCAGCAAGAACACAACTTTATTCTTCAACTCAAACGCAACTCCAACACAGATCAACATCTGATAGCCAGAACAGAACAGTCCAGCTTTTACATTGCAGTTGCCCTGCTTTTAAACATTCCTGGCTAATGTAGCCACGCCCACTGTACACATACCAACCAATAAGGTTGTTCACATAAGGACCAATCACGGCTGTTCCCACTAAGGGAGCTTGCTGCGAAGTGATTGGCTTGTTACTTCCTGGGCTAGCAATACCATTGGATGTATTTGGATCCTAGCCCAGGATGAAGCTTAACATTACAAGTCAATGAGATGTTTCACATACATCATGCATTCCATGGCAGCTCGCTTTGGAACACCCCCCCCCCCCCCCCCCCCCGACTTCCTGCCAAGGCCCCCCACACACACTTCCATCCAGCCCCCAGGCCCTCGGCTCTCTGGGCTGCCTAGAGGACTCCTGACACTCTGGGCCGCCTGGAGGACTCTCTACCACCGCCCCTTCCTCAAGCGCAACTTGCCTCCCCACTTAGGCAGGCAGAGTGCAAACGCTACAAAAATGAGGTTTTTTTAAATTTAAATTTTATTTTCTGTTTTGTGACATCAGTGCCCCCTGACTTATTTAAAGCCCCCCCCAAAAAAATTACAAAATTCTGGCTACGGGCCTAGGGGGATGTTGGGTGATAGTGAGATATTGAAAAAATGGTATTTAGCAGAGATAAGATAGTCCAGCAGAGCCAGAGTAAAATAATTCAGACTCAGAATCCATGTGTGATTAAAATATAACGTTTTTACTAAATTCTAGCATGGGGAAGTGTAACTGGGATGAAAATAACAAAAGAGCATAATCAGTTACACTACAAATACAAAACTAGAAGAGGGAGATTATGGCTGCTCTTCTTCTTCTTCTTCAGAACACACACAAAGACGGGAAGAGAAGCCATAAAATGGTAATACACCTTGACACTTTAGTCCCAATCAAATTCCTAGATCAGGGAGAAAATTCCCAAGAACATTGGTTACATGAGAAACATATGACTTCCTGTGGGTAACATAAACAAACATTTAACCCCAGATATACTGAGTGTTTTCAACTTGTAATACCCAACAGGGGACATTATACAAGAGATCAAACCATGCATAAATAACGAGAAATATTTATTCGACATTCAGTGAGTGCGATGATCTAAACCTATATAGAGTAGTTTTTCCAAAAATACAACATGATAGTCAGAAACCTCAAAAATACATCGTCCAAATGCACAAACAATCCTATTAATCCACCTTCAGAAACGGTCCAAGGCGAGATGTGTTTTTCAAAGAGGAATGATAAACATTTATATTTGGAGTTTTCACTGCTTCAGGAACTTGACTTGGACTATTTCTGAAGGTGGATTAATAGGACTGTTTGTGTATTTGGACCGTGTACTTTTGAGTTTCTGACTATCGTATTGTATTTTTGAAAAACGACACTATTTGTTTATTTATTATTTATTTATTAAATTCCTATCCCGCCCTCCCCGCAGAGCGGGCTCGGGGCAGCTCACATTCAGCAGCACCATGTGCCAGGTCATAGAAAACATATAAATACATAAAAATGAGATAAAACAGTCACATATTATACAGTTAAAGTTAAAGTGCTCGCGATGATGGTGTTGGTCAACCATGTTGGTCTGAAGCAGTAGAACAAATTTAGAGTCCAGTGGCACCGTTAAGACCAACAAAGGTTTACCCAAGGTACGAGCTCTCATGTGCATGCACACTTTATCAAATACATCAGAATGGCAGGCAACGTTCAAACTTACAGCCAGAGAATGAACAGCAAATTAACATGCAACACGATGATGATCAAGATATGTGAAGTGACACTAGATAACAAGTTAAGGTTATAAGGCCAACAGTTGTAAAGTAATAAATATGTCAAACTAGCAGATAAATGTCTAAAGGTGTTTTTTTCCTCATTGTGGGAAGTGACTGACTCATTGAATGTTGAATACATATCTTTCGTTACTTATGCACAGTTTGATCTTTTGTATCTTTTGTATAACCACCTGCAGACTTGTGACCCTAATGTCTGCCCCATGAGGAATGGACTAGCCACCCTCTCTTTCAAAGGGTAATTGAAACCCCCAGCTCTCCCAGGCCAAGTGTGACGGATGCTGTGGCGTAGGGTTGCCAGGTCCAGGTTGGAGCCTGGGGAGGACAGGGACCTCAGCGGGGTACAATCCCACACAGTCCACCCTCCAAAGCATCCCTTTTCTCCAGGGGAACTGATCTCTGTAGGTTGGAGATGAGCTGTCATTCTGGGAGGGTCCCCAGGTCTCGCCTGGAGGCTGGCATCCCTATGTGGTAGTCCCAGCAGGAAGTCAGTGGTAAGATAGCAGTGTGTCCATATCTTACCTCCGTTTCACTCCTGGAATACTTAGACAAAGATGTTAGATGACTCTGGGCGTGTCTCGCCCTGCCCAGGATAAATGTGAAAACAGGCTCTGGATAGAAGGGCAGAGAGAGGATTCAGGTCCCGCCCCAGGTCCCTGTTCCCTTGACCCCGTAGCACAAGCAGTCAAGTATGGAGGCACCGGTTGGATTCCCACCGCTGACACTGTTCACAGTCCAGTGGGCAGCCTGGATTCTCTGAAGGGGTGAAACACGGCATCATTTCTCTTGCTCAGACTATCAAGTGTCTTTGCATTGGGTCGCTGCAAAGAATGCGACTGGGCTCTCTGTTTTCCTAGCCCTGTCAAGAGGAGGCTGGGATTTGGAACAGCAGCCTCCTGAGCGTTCCCTGGTAGCAGCACGAGGAAGGCTGAAGCTGAATCAATTGAGTCTTCTTCCGAGTTCTGACCTGGCTATATATCCTGCTGATCTGGGCCTTGGCTCTAAAGTCCTCCAGCAGCTTGCTAAGCCCCTGGGATTTGCGGCTATCACCTCTTCCTGTCTGCCTGTCTAGCCCCTCCCTGGCTGAAGCCTGGTCCTGCTCCACTGGGATTCCATCTGCAGCACCTTGTTCTCCTGGCTTCCTGCATCCAGGCACTAAACCCCCCACCCCCCACCCCAAGTTCTTTTTTTTTTTTAATAAAGATTTTATTGACTCTCCTAAAAAGGGGAGGTGTTTCGCTTAAAAGGAAAAATGGGGGGGTATATAGTGGGAGAAAGAGAAAGCTGAGTGATATATTAACTGGTAAATTAAACTGTTAGTAATGTCCAAACATTCTTCTTAGGCTTCTTCTGTGTGTTGTCAAACATCTTTTTTTCAGTCCGGTCACAAGTAGTTCTATGTTAGTATGTTAGTAATGTTCCTTTGAATTTCTGTTAAAAAGTCTCTTCAGGGCGCATTCAGAACCGCTTCTTTGCGTGCTGGTTACTTTTACACTCCCGATGACGTGGAGGAGCTTCCTCTGTTTTCCTCACCTTCCGGCTTTTTTCAATCGTCCTTCGGGTTGCTGTTAACGCTTTCAGTTCATGTGCTATAAATCCTCTTCCTTTCATGCCGTTTCAGGAGGTCTCCAGCTTTGAGAATGGTATTAAATTTCAATTTCGCTTTTATCCGCTCCCAAACTCTCCGCTGGATCCTCCTCCGCAACTGTTGACTTTTATAAGCGCTTACAAGGCACTTCTCGCTGTCACAGTGCAAACTTTTCCGTTTTCCACAATCCCCCGTCAGATTCACAACCATAAACAATCCAAGCATTAAGCAGCCGGCTCTCACATATAAGCAAACGCCCAGACGGAAGTCCCTCCCTGCTTCTCTGCTTGCTTTTAGTTCTTTTTCTCTGCATTTTGACAACTCACAGTTAAGCCGATCTTTTCTTTTTCCATTTTTTCGGATGGTCGCTTTATCACTCGGTGACGTCTGGTGGCTCCGCTAAACCCCGTGAAACAGGGTCGCTCATGCAGCAAGGTCCATTGGGGCAGGGCATGGCGGGAGCCTCGGTCTTCGACCTCTCGGCCGAAAGAGAGACTCCCCCCTAGTGCGCCCTAAAGCGCCCCGGATCCGAGCTCCTCCATTCCTGAGGGGCTCGTTCGGGTCTCCACTCGCGCGGATTCGCTCCTCCACCGCGGGCGGGCGAGACGACCTCGGGAGCGACCCGAGGATGCGTCCGCCATTCGCGGGAGCCAAACCGGAAGCCCCCCACCCCACCCCAAGTTCTGTCTGGCCCCCACTAAGGCATCCTTTCCCTCTTCCTTGCAGGCTCATCATTCGGAATGGAAATGACATTGAAGCACCCCCCGTGTATGATTCCTATGAGGTGGAGTACCTGCCGATCGAGGGGCTGGTCAGCACGGCGCGTGGCTTCTTCATCGAGCTGACCACAGACAGCAGTGGCGTGGCCACAGGCATGGCGCTGCGATATGAAGGTGAGGTTTGAGGGCTGCCGGGAAAGACACCACGGACATTCTTCCCCGATGACTTGGGGAGGCTTCATGCAGCTTGCACACCTGGGAACAGCTACCCTGGCCCCGGTCACACAGGCCAGATAACGTGGGGGGGGGGAGGTGTGGCTGTTCACCCCGGAGCAAAATTAAGCATGGTAGCCCGATCACATGGTCCCCCGAGTCTCCATGCTTTGGCTGTTAGCTGACGATGCTGCAGCGTGGCAAAGAAGCGGTGCGGCGCAATTACACAAGCGTTTGTGCGCATGCACAGTTCCACGGAGCAGCACTGCTTTCTGTTTCGTGTTTGTGCGCATGCGCTTACAAAAAACATCCAGTTTGCGACGGGACGTGGACGGGCGCCAGATGCCACGGGATACTAGTGCTCCCGCAATCAGACGCCCACCTGTGCCATGCGTTTTCCTAATCCTAGTGCACTTTCCTTGGTACTTTAAACTCCGCATCTTCGGTGGGACGCCATGGGTTGGCCACGGGTGCACTATGCTTCCCAGATGTTGCAGTGTGATCGCACCCCAAAAATCCGCCCAACATTTGTGCCTTTCACGCAGCAAATTCTCTGTGTGACTGGGGCTGCTGTTTCCTTGTGATACTGCACATGGGTGCATACACCATTCACATGTGCAGCATCCCATGGGAAAATGGACCCTCAGGCTATGGCTAAGGAGGAGATGATCTGGTTGTTTTCTTTGTTTTAACTCCATATACTAGTGTGTTCTCACCAGTTTTGGTTCATCTCCGTTTTATTTCTGTGGCCAGTCATTCTTTGTTTTTTTAGACCAGTGATACCCCATTGATGCTATGATAACATGCACCGTGAAAAACACGCTAAGTTTAACAAGGGATATTTGGTGCAAGGAAAGAGAAGCTGGTACAAAACCCAAGACCGGCAGGTTTGTTTCTCACAAAGATGAAGTGAAATCAGGACAGGAAGACTCAAGCTGGACCTGGCAGGTTTCAGAATTCAGTCTTCGCTGTTCAGCCACCGGAGGAAGGGCAACTGAGAAGAGGGAGCAGGTACCGTCTCCTTAGAGGCATCCTGCAAGCCTACAGTGTTAGGCAGGCCTGTCTGCTGACCAGGCAAAGGAAGAAGGCGGGGTCCTGATTTTTTAGACAGTGCCTGGCCAATCCAGAGGCTCCTTGTTGGTGTTATCCATTCAGTTGTGTTCAACTCTTGGCGATTCTATGGGCCGGCTCTCTCCACGTTTGCCGATCTTGTACTGTTTCGGACATTCAGGGCTTTTTTTGTAGAAATAGCCCAGAACAGGAACTCATTAGCATAATAGGCACCACCCAACAGCAGAAACTCATTAGCATATCAGGCCACACCCCTGACAGTACTGCTCATTAGCCTATTAGGCCACACACCCCACACCTTCCCTTGGCTTGCCCGGGCAAGCTGGCCCTTGGACAGGCCGGGGAAGGCATGGGGAGGCATTTAAACCTCCCCGGTCCTTCCAGGGGGCCCCCCGGCCCACCCACCTCAGAGTCACGGGGGGGTCCACTCTCCAGGCCTTCCCTCTGTAGCCACACATGCAGAGTTTTTGGCTGTAGTGGGTGTGGCCAACTCTGAAGCCAGCCGGAACTCCGTTCCTGTGCGTTCCTGCCTGAAAATAGCCCTGCTGACATTTCATGTTGCTATTCTGTGTGCCTCTGTACAGCGCAGACTCTTGCTTTCACCTTTGGCTGTATCAGCAGCTGGGATTTCTGCTGGCTGCTGGATTTGTCCCAGGCACATCATTAATACTATGACTACTTGCTAGAAATCTTTGGTCTTCTCCAGTAACTTGTTGGGTACCTTTTGGCCTGGGGGTCCTGCCATCGGGCATCATGTCTGATACTTTTGAGAGCCTTTCCATAAAATCTTCTTGACGGATTTTTCTGGAGTAGGTCACCAGTTCTTTCTCCAACCCTCCCCATTTATCCGGGCTTGGGACCAGCATGCACACAGGTGTACGTGGCTGGGTTAGAGGCTTCTTAGTAAAGGATAAAGGTTTCCCTTTCTCGAAAGCCAGTCAAATCCGACTCTAGGGATGCGGTGCTCATCTCTGTTTCCAAGCCGAAGAGCCAGCACTGTCCAAAGACTTCTACATGGTCATGTGGTCGGCATGACCAGACACCAAGGCGCACTGAACACTGTTACCTTCCCACCGAAGTGGTACCTATTTATCTACTTGCAATTTCTTGCTTTCAAACTGCTAGGTTGGCAGGAGGTGGGACCAGAGAAGGGAGCTCACTCCGTCATGCGGCACACTCGGGTCTTGAACTGCTGAACTACCGACGTTCCAATCTGCAGTTTGGCATCTTAACCACTTGAGCCACCGCAGGCTTCTTACTTCCTGCCAATGTTAGGGTTCTATGCTGCATGCTGCTATTCCATTTTGTGCCTGAAGGGGACTTGGAGCAAACTCAGACCCTGGTTAGCTCACCTGGGTGTTGGGCCACAAGAGTCAAGTGCTGAAGGCCTGAGGCTCGTAAGGAAGGTTTTCAAGGCAAGAGATGTTCAGAGGTGGCTTGCCATTGCCCGCTTCTGCATTGTGACTGTGGACTTCCTTGGTGGTCTCCCATCCAAATACTAACCAGGGCTGACCTTGCTTAGCTTCTGAAGCCTGACAAAATCAAGCTAGCCTGGGCTATCCAGGTCAGGGTATTTAGAAATATACAGGTTCCATTTATCCATTGTAATCAATAGATTCTTTTGAACTATGGTGCTGGAGAAGACTCTTGAGAGTCCCTTGGACTGCAAGAAGATCAAATCAGTCAGTCCTAAAAGAAATCAGTCCTGACTGTTCCCTGGAAGGCCAGATACTGAAGCAGAAGCTCAAATACTTTGGCCACCCAATGAGAAGGGAGCACTCACTGGAGAAGACCCTGATGCTGGGAAAGATTGAAGGTCAAAGAAGACGGGGACGGCAAAGGATGAGATGGTTAGACAGTGTCATCGATGCAACGAACATGAAGTTGAGCCAACTTCAGAGGACGGCGGAAGACAGGAGGGCCTGACGTGATCTGGTCCATGGGGTCGCGAAGAGTCGGACTCAACTGTGCGACTGAACAACAACAAATCAGTAGCCCTTGATGGACCTCTCCTCTTCCATGAATTTGCCCAATTCCCTTTCCAAGCCCTCTAGGCTAGTGGCCACCACTACATCCTGTGGCAATGAGTCCCACGGGCTCATTACAGGTTGTACAAAGACCCTTTTCATTGTTTCTGCCTATTCTCTTCCTCTCTACCATTCTGTCTGTTGCAGCCTTCGAACCAGGGCACTGCTACGAGCCGTTTGTCAAGTACGGGAACTTCACCACCAGCGATGCCACCTACAGTCTGGGCACCACGGTGGAGTTTGCCTGTGAGGCCGGCTACACCCTGGAGCAAGGGTCTGTCATCATCGAGTGTGTTGACCCCACCAACCCCCAGTGGAATGAGACGGAGCCGGCCTGCCGAGGTAGGTCTACGGAGGTTCCTGACTTGGGGGAAGACTGAGCGCCTTGCGTCTGAGGAGAGGTTGGGAGTAGAACCCTGGCGAGCCGCCGGGGGTATTTGTTTTGAAAGGGGATAGGCCGCCCCTCCAGAGACCTCCTAAAGGTAGCAAACGAGATAAAAGCAATTCAACAATAAAAGCATAAAACAAAAACCGATAAAATCCATCCATAAAAATGATCCATAACGTGCTTGATAAAATCGCCATGAAATAGGATTGCATACCTCCAGGTGAGAGCTGCAGTTCTGCCAGGGTTGTGACTGATCTCCAGATCCCAGAGATCAATTCCCTGGGAGAAAATGGTCGCTTTGGAGGGTGGACTCTATGGCGGCGCACCCCCACTGAGCTTCTTCTCAGGCTCCGTCCCAAAATCTCCCAAGAGTTTCCGTACCCAGAGTTTGTAACCCTTCCATGAAGGGGCATTAGAACAGCATAAATAACACAAAAGCTGCAACTGGCCCCTCCAGCGGAATCCATGAAACAGCACTCCGGTGGGCCATAAAACAAAAACCTAGAAAAAAAATGAGATTGAACTTCAGGCAAAAGCGTAGCTAAAGAGAAATGTTTTAGCCTGGTGCTTAAAAGACAGTGGAGTAAGTCCCAGATGAACCTGAAAAAGAAAGGGCACTCCAAAAGTGAGTTGCTACCTCCAAGAAAGCTCTGGCTGCCGTCTCCCTCACTTCTATGGGTGGGGGTACAGAAATATTGAGTTGGAAACTGGGTGGGCTGTAAAAGACGGGTGAAGGTAGTCCTTCAGGGACCTCGGTCCCAAGCCTTTCAGGGCTTTAAAAATAGGGACCAGCACTTAGAATTGTGCTTGGAAATGAATGGATAGGCACAGGGCTATTTTTGGACAGGAACGCACAGGAACGGAGTTCCAGCTGGCTCCTGAGTTGGCCACGCCCAGCAGGAACTCATTAGCATAATAGGCCACACCCAACAGCAGAAACTCATTAGGATTGGCCACATTAGGGGCGTGTGGCCTAACATGCAAAGAAGTTCCTGCTACAAAAAAAGCTCTGGGTTTTGACAACAAACAAGGTAAACAGAATAACAAGCAAAAGGTGGGTGTGGCTGGATGACCACACTTCTGGTAACATGTGGGTGTGGCCTAATATGCTAATGAGTGGTGCTGTCAGGGGTGTGGCCAATATGCTAATGAGTTCCTGCTATTGGGTGTGGCCTATTATGCTAATGAGTTCCTGCTGGGCTTTTTCTACAAAAAGAGCCTTGGATAGGCAGCACGCAGGCTGTATCCAGGCATCTCTGTATCCTGGCCCATCAGCATCCCAGTTGCTGCATTTTGAACCCACTGACATTTCCAGATAGTTCTCAGAGCATATTATGGTAATCTAACCTGAATGTGATCAGAGCATGGATCACGGGGGCCAAATCACATATTTGCAGGAATGACCATCAACCAATGCTCCCTCTCAGCTGGGGAGTCTCGTGAGCAAAAACTTTACTTTGTGAGCTACTGGCATTAAAGTTGTGATTTGGCTTCTGCATAAATTAGTTTGCTCTGGAGCCATCCTTCCTGAGCTAAGACAAAAATGTGTGAGCCGGAGGCTAAAAAACCGAGCTAGCTCACACTAACTCAGCTTAGAGGGAACACTGATCATAACCATGGCTCAGTGGAGGAGCATCTGCTGGACTTGCAGAAGGTCCAGGTTCAATCTCTGGCATCTCCAGTTTGAAAGATCAGGTAGCAGGTGATGGGTCTGCCTGAGACCCAAGAAAGCCACCGCCAGTAGACAATACTGACCTCAGTGGGCCAAGGGTCTGATTCAATATAAGACAGCTTCATGTGTTCATGTTTCTGTGTTCATGTGTTTATCAGCCAAAGCTGATCGAAGACGCTTCATATGATGGAGGAAACCTGAGCCTCCAACTGTAGGACAGGATCCGGAAGCATCCCTAGACTGGGAACCTGCTCTTTCCACATCTGGGACAGACTCACCCCTGCTCCTGTGCAGCCTTACCTTTGACCAGCATACCTCTGTCTCATATGGACTGGCTTCGGTTTATTGCCCTCATCCGTCCCATCACCTTCTCAAATCACTTGTTCAGGATCCTCTCAGGTCATATAGCTCTGTTCTGCCAAAGAAACAGAGTTGGGTGTCAGTGGGGGGGGGGGGGGGTTGTGAGAAAGCCACCGGAAGACACCATCATCCAACAGCAGAAACTCATTAGCATATTAGGCCACACCCCTGACAGCACAGCTCATTAGCACATTAGGCCCCACCCCCATGTTACCAGAAGTGTGATTATCCAGCCACATCCACCTTTTGCTTGTTATTTTGTTTATCTTGTTTGTTGTCAAAACCCAGGGCCTTTTTTTGTAGCAAGGACTCCTTTGCATGTTAGGCCACACACCCTTAATGTAGCCAATCCTAATGAGTTTCTGCTGTTGGGTGTGGCCTATTATGCTAATGAGTTCCTGCTGGGTGTGGCCAACTCAGGAGCCAGCCGGAACTCCGTTCCTGCCCAAAAATAGCCCTGGGTGTCAGCCACATATTGGTGGCCCCTCACTCCAAATCCCTGGATGATCTTCTTCAATAGTTTCATGTAGATGTTAAAAAGCTTGGGGGAGCGTTGCAGAACTGAACGATGTGAGATGCAATGGGGCGATCGGTAGTCCCTAGGAACCACCGTCTTAAAACACCTGGCTGGGTAAGAGTGGAGTCAGCAAATCATGGTGGCCCCTGTTCTCAATCCAGCAATCCTTTCCAGAAGGACACCAAGGTCGATGGCACTGAAGCCACTGAAAGATCATTCTCCTAGTGCAGAATGTCTATCATGGCAACAAAGGCTGTTTCCATCCCAACTCCATGGCTGAATCCAAATTGAAACAGGTCTTGGTAAATCGGTCTCCTCCAAGATTGCCTGAAGTTGAACGGCCATCACTCACTTGAGCACCTTGCCAAAGAATGAAATGTTGGCCACCAGGCAGTATTTATTTAGGTCGTTTGGATCCAGGGAGGCCTTCTTCAGGATAAGAGCATTTCAGGAGGCTTCTGAAAGAACCAGTGATATTAGACCTCTTCTTAGAATCATAGAATGTTAGAGTTGGAAGGGACCTTGCAGGTCATCTAGTCCAACCCCCTGCACTCTGCAGGAGCATAGCCAAAAGAGAGCCCTACAACTTACCCAAAAGATGGTTGTGCAGTCTCCGCTTGAAGACGTCCAGCGAAGGAGCACCCACCACCTCCTGAGGCAGTCTGTTCCACTGCTCGACCACTCTTACAGTTAGGAAGTCTCTCCTGATATTTAGCCGGTATCGACTCCCTTGTAATTTTCACCCATTAGATCCAATCTGGAGCAAGAGAGAATAGATCTGCTCCATCTTCTACATGACAGCCCTTCAGATATTTGAAGACTGCAATCATGTTTCTTAATTCTTAAGAGGTTGTCTTTGGTGCTTTCGCACATTCTGAATAATGCACTTTCGATCCACTTTCAATGCACTTTGCCCATTGTTCACGAGTAGATTTTGCTGTCTCACACAGTAAAACCCAATTGCAAAGTGCACTGTTCAGCGTGTGATGGATGTGAGCATTTATCGACCTGTGTCCTGTCTCCCCTTCCTGGGCAAGGTGACTGAGCGGGCAGCTGGCAGAGCAACGGCAGACATCTCTGGATGAAACATCTGCCCTTGACCCGCTTCAGTCTGGCTTCCGGCCAGGATTGGGTACTGAAGCGCCGCTAGTGGCCTCGGTTGCTGATCTTCACTTACATCATTGCTGATGTTGTTAGACCCATCAGCAGCATTTGATATAGGTGACCAAAGTATTTAAGTGGATTGATTGGGATACGAGGGACAGCCCTCTGTTGGTTTCATTATTTTTTGCTGGCAGGAAGCAAAGCATTTCCATAGGAAAGGCAGAGTCTGCTCGCTGAGATGTACTGTGCCCCAAGGGAAATCTGCACAGCTGTTCCTTACACACACACCCATATCGCACTCTGGTTGCCGGCCTTCTTGACCCCAGCACAGCCAGGAGACCTTCTGACCCCTGTTTTCTGGATCCCACAGCCGTGTGCAGTGGGGAGATCACGGATGCAGCCGGTGTGGTGCTTTCTCCTAATTGGCCAGAGCCCTATGGGAAGGGTCAGGACTGCATCTGGGGCTTGCATGTGGAAGAGGACAAGCGCATCATGCTGGATATCCAAGTGTGAGTATACCGGTGTTATGGTACTTGGATGGGAGTCCACCCAGGAAGTCCAGGGCTGCCAAGCAGAAGCAGGCAATGGCAATCCATCTCTTGCCTTTAACGTCAGGACCACTAGGGAAGTGAGTCACAGAATCATCCAGACACCCCCCCGTCCTATGCTGATAGCAGCCCCCAATTATGTTCCCTTAGGTTGCGGCTGGGCAAAGGGGATGCGCTGACCTTCTACGATGGAGATGACCTGACGGCACGCATCCTGGGCCAGTACTCCGGCCTCAACCGGCGCTTCAAGCTGTTCACCTCAACGGCTGATATCACCATCCAGTTTCAGTCTGACCCTGGAAGCAGCGGCCTAGGCTACCAGCAGGGATTCATCATCCACTTTACAGGTTCGCATCATGTTTCCTGGACATTTGGGAGGCAGGCACTCCGTGGCAAAAACTCCCCAGCCAGTTTGGTGTAGTGGTTAAGTGCGCGGGCTCTAATCTGGGAGAACCGGGTTTGATTCCCCACTCCTCCACTTGCACCTGCTGATGTGACCTTGGGTCAGTCACAAGCTCTGGCACAGCTGTCCTTGAAAAAGAGCAGTTTGTGTCCGAGTTCTCTCAGCCCCACCCACCTCACAGGGTATCTGTTGCGGGGAGGGGAAGGGAAAGGAGCTTGTAAGCCGCTCTGAGACTCCCTTGGGTAGTGAAGGGCGGGGTATAAATCCAATCTCTTCTTCTCTTCTTCTCTCTGCTTAATCTTCTTTTCAGGGAGGGGTTATCAGAAGAAATCCAGAAGCGATTTGCAGCGCTCACTTTGACCTCTGTGCTTGATTCTGCTCCAATGCAGGATTTGGCAACGGAAGCAGAACTGAACCCCTGAACAACTAAAGCCTTCATGGTTACAAAAAAACCCGGTTAGGGTGCTGTTAGATCATGAGCCTGACACTGCTGCTGCTGCTGAAACCAGCAGCTCCGGGTTGAGCTTTCCTTCACTGTGAAACTTACACTGTTAAGGCTATTTAGAGTGAAGTTAGATCATGTGCCTGCCACACAGCTGCTGCTGAAATCAGAAGCTCTGGCCTGAGGTCTCCTCTGTGAAACTGACTCTATTAGGGCTAGTTAGGGTACAGTTAGATCATGTGCCTGCCACACGGCTGCTGCTGAAATCAGAAGCTCTGGGTAGTGTTCTCCTCCGCGAAACTTACTCTGAAATAACAGTATTGTGCATTTCCCCGTGTTACTGATAAGGAAGGGCAAGGAAGCACACAGGGGCACTTGTGGCCAGGCAAGGAGCTGCCCAGTTCGATCTCCCATCTCTCCAATCAACACGTACCCTTTCCCTTTCAGAGGTGCCCCGCAATGACACTTGCCCTGAGCTGCCAGAGATCCCCAATGGTTGGAAGACCGTGTCTCACCCAGAGCTGATCCACGGCACTGTGGTCACCTACCACTGCTACCCTGGCTATGAATTGGTGGGCACCGAGCTCCTGATGTGCCACTGGGACTTGACCTGGAGTGGGGACCTGCCCTCTTGCCAGAGAGGTGAGTATATGGAGGGGAGGCATGCCAATGCCAGAGGGGGGGGAAGGGGAGGCCCTCCCCATTTCCCGCATATTTTGTTCGCCCACTGCTTGGATTGCCGTTCTTTATCTAGACCCACCTGGAAAGCAATGAAGTGGAGGCAGAGAAAGGGGAGAGCACTTTCTTAAGCTTGACATTGCTTAGGAATAGGATTTTGTGTGTGTGCACGCATACGTGCGTGCGTCCGTGCATGTGTGCACTGAAACTGGAGTCACCCCTCGGTCTAAAAATTCAAGAAGCTCATAAACATTTTGTAGATCAGCTCTTGGAAGAATGGGCAGGCATCCATCTCCCTTGAAAAAACACGGGGATAACCCAGTGAATGATTCTCCTTGGTGTCCCCGTCACCCCTTTGGCCAGTCATTTAGAGTCTGGCGGAATGTAAGGGAGCGTGTGCATTCCCTAAAGCGGCTTAGTCTGGCATGGGGTGTACGCTCTGTGGCCTCTCTCTGGCACACGCCATTGCCTTTGCTCCAGTACACAATTTGGAGGGAGACGGGGATGAGAAAGGCTCTGGCGAAGCCTGTCAAGTTTTGGTTATGCCATGAGCTCCCCCTGCTGGCACTGTGCAGTCTTAGTTGTGCATGTGGTCTCGGATTCTGAGAAGCTTCACACTGTGTGTACACGCTTGAGGCTCAGCTCACGGAAGCTTAGCCTGCATTTTCAGTAAGTCCGATGCTTTATTAAAAATCTCCTCCTAAGCAAACCTGGATCTCGCATATCGTTTCCTTGGGCTTTCTTCGAATCCGGAGCACCCACCTAGCCGAGTAGCACCTCCACACCAAAAGCAGAGGCAGACCTACATTTTTGGACCCTGAAGCTTGAACTGTTATTGGAGCCCCTTCTCAACATCCAACAAGGTCCACAGGGCAGAGAACGGGGTGGTGGGGTGGAGACCTTGAAAATGGGCCCAACAGTGAGCCCCTTCCCATCAGCAACGAGGTCTGGGTAACCGCTGTTATCTTCTTCAGTGGGGTTGTTCCATGGCAAATCGCCACAACTGGGGATTCGGGTGCTGCAAGCCCCCAAGAAAATTTTTGAAATCTGACCAATTACAGGGACACTTTGAGGCCCTACGAAATGGGTATTAGAGCATATTCTAAGGTCAATTCTGTCACTAAAACAGCCTTATTTTAATAACAAACACTTTAAGAAAACTCCATCAATTTTATCTATCTTCATTCGTTTCATAGTAGGTCTGCCCCGGACCAAAAGAACGGTTTCCCAAGGCCTCAGTCTCTTTCAGCCCCCGTAGTCGAGATTCTTCCAACTGGCATTACCAAGGTCTGAAGCTGGGCCTTCGGCATGTGTGTTCTACCAGGCTCCTTCCTTGATATACGAAGGCTTGATTGTCTGAAAAAGCTTATTGGCAAGCCACAAAGAGCGGGCTTGTGGGTAATAGTGCTAAAATCTCAATTTCCTAAATATATTCCAGTTTTTGATTTTCATAAGTTTCGCTGCAGTTTAAATCTTCGTGAAGGAACGTCACTCTTGCCAGAGCGAACAAGAGCCGGCACAAAGCAGACATCTCACTCCTTGCCCTGCCTCGCTTGCTCCCCCATCCTCTTTCTTCTGTCCGTAGTGACCACGTGCCGGGACCCTGGAGATGTGGATCACAGCCGCCGCATGGTCTCCACTAACAAGTTCCCTGTTGGCTCCACCGTCCAGTTCATCTGTGACAAGGGCTATGCGCTGAGCGGGAGTGGACTGATCTCCTGCCACGACCGACAAGCCGGAGACCCCAAGTGGAGCGATCGTCTTCCCAAATGCATCCGTAAGTCACCCGTGTTCACAGGCTCGATGGCAGCTCCTAAACAGGGTCGGGTCAGAACCTCCATGTCTGGAGAAACCTTCTCTGTGCCATGTGTTTGGGGCAAGGGAGAAGAAATGGCCCCATTTCCCTGTCTTCCAGAGGCAGGGCTATTTTTGGGCAGGAACGCACAGGAACGGAGTTCCGGCTGGCTTCAGAGTTGGCCACGTCCACTACAGCCAAAACCTCTGCGTGTGTGGCCACAGAGGGAAGGCCTGGAGAGCAACACCCCCCCGGCTACTCTGAGGCAGGCGGGCCAGGGGGGGCCCTGGAAGGATCGGGGAGGCATTTAAATGCCTCCCCGTGCCTTCCCCGACCTGTCCAAGGGCTGGCTTGCCTGGGCTCCCCGCAGCCGCGGGGCACCCAGGCAAACCAAGGGAAGGCATGGGGTGTGGCCTAATATGCTAATGAGTTTCTACTGTTGGTGTGGCCTATTATGCTAATGAGTTCTGCTGGGCTTTTTCTACAAAAAAACCCCTGTCCAGAGGTATCACATGACCCACGGGATGGAGCACTGAAGTCTTAAGGAAGCACTTAGCTTTAAGGAAAGCTGAGCTTGAAGGAAAGCTAAAAATCATGGAGCTTTTCAGTTTAGGAAAAAAGCTGCTGAAAGAAGGTCTATGAAATTAGGTTAATAAAATCAGGCACGGGAGAGAAAAAGCGGAGACGATTTTTTTCTCCCCCCTCAATCTGCTAGAATTTAGGAGCACCCAATGAACGTGATGAGCAGTAGATGCGGGGCAGACAAAAGAAAGTGTTTCTTTAAACGAGGGATGTGAAGAACAACGAAAAGGAGTTTTTTTTTCTTGTCAGTTCCAGAAATGAGGAAGGAAATGGCAGACCTGCTGCTCAGTAAGTTTGATGAAATGTTCGCAGGTGAAGTCAAGCTTCACCTTCATCTTCTCCCAGGAGGGGAAGGGGAATCTTGTGCAAGCTAGCAAAAATAGCATGAAGGGCCCGGGGATGAGATTGCAGCTCAAGGTGATAAAGAGTGGGTCAAGGCTAAACTTTAAACGAATTCTGGCCTTCTGGGCCAGAAGAACTGCATCCTAGGGGGCTAGGAACTTGCTGATAGACTCAGAACCTCTATCATCCAGTGGCAGTCGTCGTGATTCTGGGGCCTCGGGCAAAAGTTCAGGAGATCCCTGCCCACCCACCCTATCCCCCAGGCTCGAGCAAGGCCCTTGTCCCATGCAAAGGGGGCAGCATGTGCTGCCACGGCCAAATTGGCTGCTGCCCAAGCCCCAGAGGGGGCAGAGGCACCCTTGCCAGCACCAAGCCGGCTACTTGAGAGCTGGAGGGGGTGAGCCTGTCTGCTCTTCCTCTTCTTTCCCACTCTGTTGGGGGGGGTGTTTGGGTGGTCAGGGTGCCCCCCCAGCCTGGGACAGCTGTGGCTAAGTTAGGGGTGCCAGCCTCCAGGTGGGACTTGGGGATCCCCCCAGAATGACAGCTCATCTCCAGACTACAAAGACAATTTCCTCTGGAGAGAATGGCTGCTTTGGAGGATGGACTCTATGGTACGGTACCCCACTGAGGTCCCTGTCCTCCTGAGGCTCCATCCCCAAATCTCTAGGAGTTTCCCAACCTGGATCTGGCAACCCCAACCCCTCTGTCCCCCACCAGTGGCTGGGGGGAACCAGCAACCCTAGGCTAAGACTGCCCCTGCCCAGTGCCACGAGGAAAGAGACTGGCGGATGTTGTGCTGATCCTCAAAAAGGAGACAAGGGAGGATGAAGGAAACAACTGAATCATCAGTTTGGAGGTGATACTCGAAGAGATTATGAAGCTGTCTACACACACAAAACCTTTATTGGCTTGAAAGCACAAAACATCATGGAAATACAGGAAAATACTAAGATGCATCAATCACTTGGCTATTCAAGCCTCATCTTCTGATTGCATAATATAAAAATTTTGCAACAGCCTCCATTATTTCGCAATTAAACAGAAGAAAGGGAACAATTGAGTCATCAGAGTGCCGGCTCTTACCCGCTAGAAATGGAGTAATAAAACGAGATCGGATATCCCTATAGAGGGGGCAATGAAGTATGGTGTGTGTAGTGGATTCTGTATCTTTTAGAGAGCCCTAACGACAAAGTCTGTCTGCATATGGTATCTGGCGGTACCTCCCTAAAAGCACCTCTGATGGGAGAACATTAAAGCGTGCAAGCATGTATGCTCTGCGATGATGTGGGGCTGTTAAACTTGACAGATACTTCGCAGTAGAGCCCGTATCAAAAATCGCCAACCTGCTTGGGGAGCATCTGCTGGCTGCGTGTTCCCAAAGTACTTGCCTTTCGATGTCGAGAAATCTTTGTTTAATAATAGCATAGGCTTGTTTATCTGAAAAGGGGGCTGAATAATCCGGGGATATTCCCATTGTAGAGAGTTTCTCCTCGACATATCTAAGCCATGGAGAGAGATGGGACTCAGTTAACATGTGAGTAATAATACTTTTAGCTTTAGCATGGAAATGAAGTTTAAGCCAGAACTGAGTTGTTATCAGCCATGCTCTGGTCGATAGAAGCCTTTGATTGGTTTCTAGGCATAAAGCTGCATAACGAACACAAGAGGGAAGTCCAAGAATTTTCCGCAATGAAGCTGTCTATCTGTAAGCCTCTTGGGAAACATTGCAGTGATCGAGAGAAGCCAGAGTAGATTTGTTAATAATGAATCCTCCTAGATTAATCTCATCTTGCTTTTTGACGGGGTTACTTGCCTAGGGGATCGTGGGAATGCAGTGAGTGTAATATGTCTAGATTTCTTCAAGGCGTTTGACAAAAGGCCCCGTGATACTTGGTGAGCAGCCTGGATAAGAAGGGGGTCAGATGCCAGGACTGTCAAGGGGATCCCCAGCTAGTTGGAGAATGGTCCTTGAAAAGCACAACCCAGGAGCAGTGTCCCCTCTAAGCCGAGTTAGGGTGAGCTAGCTCACAGTTTTTTAGTTTCCGGCTCACACATTTTTCTCTTTGCTCAGGAAGGAGGGCTCCAGAGCAAACTAATTTATGCAGTAGCCAAATTGCTCACTCATAACTTCAATGCCAGCAGCTCACAAAGTACAATTTTTGCTCACAAAACTCCACAGCTTAGAGGGAATATTGCAGGGGTACTTTGTCAGGCCAGAGGGCAGTATTGATGGGTTGCTGCAGGCTTGATATTCTTCAACATTATTTACTTACTTACTTAAAGCATTTATTAGCTGCTCCCCCCTGCGCAGAACTCAAGGCGACTTAACGATATAAATTAAAATAGCAATTAAAAAGCAATAAAAAGTCAACAATTTAAAAACAGCAATAAAAAACCAATTAAAAGTCAATAATTTAAAAACTCCAAGTTAGGACTGCCAATAAAAAGTCAACAATTTAAAAACAGCAATAAAAAACAATTAAAACTCAACAATTTAAAAACTCCAAGTTAGGACTTTCAATGAAAAGCAGAATCAGTCAAATGAGGTCCTTAATAAAACTGTCTTCAGCTGCCTCCTGAAGATCAACAATGGGGGCCAAGTGCACCTCCCTGGGGAGGTTGTTCTATAATTGTGGGGCTGTCATCACCAAAAAGGCCATCTCTTGTATGCCTGCCAGACAAGCCTCTTTGATTGGTGGGATAGCCAGGAGGGCCTCTCCCTGTGATCTTAATTCCTGGGCAGAAGGTAACCTTGGTATCCTTAGAAGAAGAAGAGATTGGATTTATACCCCGCCCTCCACTCAGAGTCTCAGAGCGGCTTACAATCTCCTTCCCTTCCCCTCCCCACCACAGACACCCTGTGAGGTAAGAGGGGCTGAGAGAGCTCTGTCTGAGAACTGCTCTTGAGAGAACAGCTCTGAGAGAACTGTGAATGACTCAAGGTCACCCACCTGGCTGTATGTGGAGGAGTGGGGAATCAAACCCGGTTCTCCAGATTAGAGTTTGCCGTTCTTAACCACTACATCAAAGTGGCTCTTTAAAGGGTTTTAATCTCATTGTTTATTACTTTTTCATGGAAACCATAATTAAGAATAATAATAATAATGAAGGGCTTTAAAAGACAAAAACCAACACTTTGGTCTCAGTAGTGGGTTGGGAGCCAGTGTGATTGTTGTAGTGTCAGGGACGTATCCTCCGTGTAGCTGGCCCCGATTCTCAATGACTCGGATGAAGGGCTGGAACCCGGTAGCAGGAACTCCTTTGCATATTAGGCGACACACCCCTAATGTAGCCAATCCTCCAAGAGCTTATAGAGCTCTTCTGACAGGGGTTACTGTAAGCTCTTGGAGGATTGGCTACATTAGGGGTGTGCCACCTAATATGCAAAGAAGTTCCTGCTACAAAGAGAGCCCTGCCTGGAAGGAATGTGTTTCAGATCTAGAATCATAGAATGTTAGAGTTGGAAGGGACCTTGCAGGTCATCTAGTCCAACCCCCCTGCACTCTGCAGGAGTGATGGTGACACAAAACTGGGAGGGATAGTTTGTACCTTAGAGGATAGCAATGCAGTTCATAATGATTTTGATAGGTTGGAAAGTTTGGCTGGAAGAAACAAAATTAATTTCTGCGAAGACAAATGCAAAGCTCTGCATTTAAGCAAAAAACAGATGGGGGAAACTTGGCTTGGCAGTAGAACATGTTAAAAGGGTCTCAGACTCACAACTGAGCACAAGTTGAACAAAGGTCAGCAATGTGATGCAGCGGCAAAAAAAGCTAATACAATTTTAGGCGGTCACTAGGAATGATCATTTCCCTCGACGCTGCAGCTGGTCAGACCTCATCTGGAATATACTCTGTCCCATCCTCGTAGTCTCCCTTTACAAAAGAGAAAGACAAACTGAAATGGGTTCAAAGAGGGCACCACAGAGGTTTGTGAGTTTGGAAAATAAGCCCTGTGAGGAAAGATTAAAGGAATGGGGTAGGTTTAGCCTGAGGAAGAGAATGCTGAGGGAAGATGTGATCGCGCCCTTCACATACCAGAAAGCCCATTCCCGAGGAGGGGGTCAAGACTTGTTCTCTGCTCCTCCAGAGGCCACAACTTGATGGAATGGTCTTAGGTTACAGGAGGAGACATTTTGGTTGAACGTTTAGAGAAACTTCCTAGCCAAGAGAGCAGGTGAACAATGGAGCCAGTTACCTGGGGGGGGGCCAGGGGGGGGCTTTCCTTTCTGCAAGTTTCCAAGCACAGCCTTGACTCTAGCTTTTCAAGCTGCTGCATCGTGAACATTGAACTACATGACCTCTAAGACGGCTTTCAACTCTATGGCAATGCATAATTAGCCTTTGGAACTCACTGCCTCAGGATGTGGATAAAATGGCTGATATGGTAATGCCCCTTTGTAGATCTATGGTGCCGCCTCATTTGGAATACTGTGTACAGTTCTGGTCACTGTGTCTCCAAATGGACATTGCAGAGTTGGAAAAAGTACAGAGGAGGGTAACCAAGATCATGAGGGGGTTGGAGCATCTTCCCTTTGGAAAGGCTGAAGAGTTTAGAAAAGAGACGACTAAGCGGGGACATGATAGAGGCTTATAAAATCCTGCATGGGATGGAGAGAGTTGACAAAGAGAACTTTTTCTCCCTCTCCCAAAATACTAGGACTCCAGGGCATCCAATGAAACTGACGGGCAGGAGGTTCAGGACGGACAAAAGGAAACACTACTTTATGTAAAGAGTGATTAAAATGTGGAATTTACTGCCAGAGGATGTGGTGATGGCCACAGGAATAAATAGCTATAAAAGGGATTAAATAGATTCATGGAGAATAAGTCTATCAATGGATACTAGCCATGGTGACTGAGGGGAACCTCCATATTCAGAGGCACTAATCCTTTGAATCCAAGAGCCAGGAGGCAACATCAGGGGAAGGCCTCAGCCTCTATGCCCTGCTGTTGGCCAGCCAGAGGAATTGGTTGGCCACTGTGTGAGAAAGGTTGCTGGGCTAAATGGACCATTGGTCTGATCCAGCAGGTCTCTTCTTATGATCTTATGAGGTGACAGACACTAGTTTAGATACCTTCCAAAGAAGATTATACAAATTGGTGGAAGAGGGAAGTCCATCGAAGGCTAAATGGACCTCTGTGTCCAGAAGCGGGATAGCCTGGATGTCAACCACAGAGAAGGGCAGCAATAGGAGGAGGCTTTGGGGTTCTGGATGCCTGCGGGAGAACTTCTTGGGTGTCTGGCTGGGCACAGTAGGACACGGGATGCAAGACGAGAGGGTGATGGGCCTGGCCCAACAAAGCAATTCATAACTGGCCCGTCTGACTCAGAATCTGTCAAAGAAATGGGGCTCCTCTGAGCAGACAAGTGGGGAAAGTGCTTTACACAATTCCTAAATTAACTTGCCCCAATGTGCAGCGTTGGCTGGCAATTAACGGTGCCATGAAAAGATTAAACACATTCTCATATGCAGGGGTCATTTCGTAGAAAAAGAGGTGCAGGAGCTCATTTTCATAACTTATTTGCATATGCCACACACCCTGACGTCACCGGAAGTGTGTCAGAAGGCAACACCCACCGCTCAGGCTCCACTGGACTGTTTTGGATTGCTAGCTATGGGGGGGGGGGGAGCTTGTACCTGAATAAAACTTGGTCTTAAAGGTGCCACTGAACTGTTTTGGACCGGGGGGGGGCCCTCTGCAACTTACTTGGCTGCTTCGTAATCTAACTGAGGGCTGCAGGGGGCGAGGCTTGTTGCATGTGCCCGCCCCTTGGTCTCTTTACTGCCAGAGCTCCGCTCCTGTGCGCTCCTGCAGGAAATGACCCCTGCTCATATGCTTCCTGGGGTGGGTTCAGGCAGTTCTGGCCTCAGGCCAGGCTTTCGATGAGAAGTCCAAAGGCCACTCTAGCTGCAGAGGGACCTTCCTTAGGTGGTCATTAGGGTTGCCCTCTGGCCCCTTGACCAGTGTCCCCTCTAAGCTGAGTTAGTGTGAGCTAGCACACCGTTTTTTAGCCTCCAGCTCACACACTTTTGTCTTCGCTCAGGCAGGATGGCTCCAGAGCAAACTAATTTAGGCAGTGGCCAAATCGCTCGCTCAGAACTTTAATGCCAGTAGCTCACAAAGTAGAATTTCTGCTCACAAGACTTCACAGCTTAGAGGGAGCATTGCCCTTGACCCCGACTGTTGTGTGGTGGGCGGACAGATGAAGGGTCAGCCCCAAAGGCTTCCACTAGACTCCATTCTGGATGTTCTGCCTTTCCTAGCGGAGGTGTACGAGCCCTGCCACAACCCCGGCATCCCTGACCATGGAGCTCAGAATCCAGAGAAGAGAGTCTACCAGGCAGGGGCACTGCTGCGATTCTCCTGCACTGCAGGCTACACGCTGCTGGGTGATGCCACTCTGCGCTGTGTGCCGGGTCACCCTTCCCAGTGGAATGGCACCCCACCATTCTGCAAGAGAGGTAAGTCCGTTGGAGAAGATATATTATCTGTAGGGCTATGTCAGTGGTCCATCTGTACAGGGAAAAGGATTCAGAACCAAGAACACCTGGCAGTGTTTCCCCAGTTCTGTGCCAATCACATCCTCGAACCTGAATGAATTATGCAAAGATGTTTTCTTAGGTGAAAAAAAATGCATTTGGCTTCCACTACCCAAGGGGAGAACAGGAAAGCATGCCGAATCTGTTAGCTCCTGAGATCTTGCCACTAAATCCTGGCTTATGTTATCAAGCATCTCTTTGCAGCCATGAGGACAAGAAACTTTGGAATGAGAAGGAAAGAATCCAAGCTTATGCAACAGGATCACAGATATAGGAAACGTCCACGGCGTGGAGAGGGTACCAGCTATTGGGATATTTGGTTAATATAGCCGTGTTTGCCCAGCCATAGAAGCATGATATTGCATGTGGTAAGATAAATCTCTCAAGAAGTATATAGCAAAAGTAAATCTTACATTTAGGCTGCGGTCAGGCTACAGGCTTGGTGCTGTCTGGCTGCGCCTCTTATCACCAGTTTCAGTTGTAGTGGGAAGATTTGATCGGACATCACGCCCTGAACCAACTGCACTGCATGCTTGCTCCATGGTAGACTGTTCAGATTATTGATGAATATCAACCACAGAGTGCGCAGTCTGGGTGGTTTATTTTTTTTAAAAAAAAATGGGCGTGCATGTGCATATGCACTTATGCGCACATCCCAAGGAACCAAAAAAGGGGGGCCGAGATGGAACTGAATGTTCGCACTTCCCAACTAGCTTGAGTTCACCACAGGGAAGTTCGGACATCTGGAAATGCGGAGTGAAAGCACTAACATCCGTAAAGACCGAATTTCTCCCGGTGCCTGGTAACTCCACTTCGAAATCAGGACAGAATGGGCTGTCAGCAACTGGGGAACAGCAGGCAGATGTTGCTATCTGAGCATGCATTTTAAATCCGGCAGGGAACAGCAACGACATCGGATCATACTGGCTTGTCTGACCGCAGCCTATTCAAGTAGATTCAGTTCACATTCAGGTTGCAATCAGAAGGAGAGAGAGAAGCCTAATCTAACAAGTACTTTCCCTGTCACAAGTGGCCAGCTATATTCGCCATCATTTGTATGGAACTATGCGGGCACTGCTTCTACAGGAGAGAAGAGTAGAGACGTGTGACTCCATGCAGAGCCATGGAGGAAGAATGGGGGAGAGGAAAGATCAGAGAGAGAGAGAAGAAGGGGTCAGAGGGCAGCTCCCAGGTTAAGACAAAGAGAGGCATCCTATGCAGGGAGATAACACCTATACACACTTAGAGTGATGTAGCACCCCCCCCCCAGTGTCCAGGCATTCTGAGTCGCTCACTCCAACACCAGCATACTGGTGGACTTAAACCGTTCAGGAGCGCTCCTGGAGGCTCGTGCCCATGTTGGAGTAAGGCCCAAGCCCTGCTCAGCCTGGAGTCCCGTCCCACAGACCTAGGATTGCCAAGTGCTTACTGTCTGCCGGCGGAGGGCTCCATGCCACTGCCTGGGATCTTCTGGCGCACACTGTGATGACATCACTCGTGACGTCATCACGCCAGGCACGTCATGCAGGGGATGATGCTCTAGCATTTGGCCAAAAACTGCATGGTCACCATAGAGTTTTTAGCCAAGTGCTAGAGTGCCCCCGTGCAACGTGCCCGGGGTGATGATGTAATCTCCGGTTGACATCACAGTTGGGCACATCGAGGGCAGCAGGGCTCTTCAGGGGCAGGGCTCCCCCTGCTGGCCATCAGGGGGGATGGCAGCCCTACACAGCCCACCCCTTTCCCTTCTTTTGCAGCCTCCTCGGAGGAGTTCTACGCCAATCGCAACCTTGACGGTAAGAAGGAGAACCACAGTCCATCCGCTCAGGTTTCACGCTGGGGAGGGAAGGAGGCTGTTGCAGGCCACAGACCTGTGACTGGCCTCGTGTGCCTTTCTCCTCCCTTCTGGCTGGGGTTCAACCCCTTTGCATAGACTTCTTTTGCTCACCCTGTTCCTCGCCCTCACCGCTTTCTCCTCCCCCCCCAAGCTGTGGCCAAAATGGCACCTGCGGAAGACCTCCTGCAAGGCTCTAATGTGGCCTTTGCCATCTTCCTGCCCGTGGCTGCTGTGGGGCTTCTCCTGGGCACCCTGTACCTCTACATCTCCAGGTGAGTCACCACTTCAGTGCGGCCCAGGTCACGCAGAGTCCTCCGAAGGGGAGAAGAGGCCTTCAGTGTCTTCGTGTTTCCTCACAGGCACCAAGGAAAGCCGTCGCTGCAGCTTCCGTCCCTCTCGGGCTCCCACCCCTACGATCACATCACGGTCGATTCGGCCTTTGACAACCCCACCTACGAAACCGGAGTAAGTGCCAACTCCCTCCTGTGGCCTGCTCTGTGGCTCCCCTGGGTTGATGGGGCCAGGGGAAGGGATACCTAGCCCCAGGGTGATTTTTGGGCAGGAACGCACAGGAACGGAGTTCCGGCTGGCTTCAGAGTTGGCCACGCCCACTACAGCCAAAACCTCTGCATGTGTGGCTACAGAGGGGAAGGCCTGGAGAGTGACCCCCCCGGCCACTCCGAGGTGGGCAGGCCAGGGGGGCCCTGGAAGGATCGGGTAGACATTTAAATGCCTCCCCGTGCCTTACCCGGTCTGTCCAAGGGCCGGCTTGGCTGGGTTCCCCACAGCCGCTGGGCACTCGGGCAAGCCAAGGGAAGGCAATTTAAACTGCCTTCCCTTCAAGGGGGGGCTTGCCCGGGCTCCCCGCAGCCACGGGGCACACAGGCAAGCCAAGGGAAGGCATGGGTGTGGCTTAATAGGCTAATGAACTGTGCTGTCAGGGGTGTGGCCTAAGATGTTAATGAGTTTCTGTTGTTGGGTGTGGCCTATTATGCTAATGAGTTCCTGCTTGGCTTTTTCTACAAAAAAAGCCCTGCCTAGCCCTAAACTGGTACACAGCCTTGGGGGGAGGGACTTGGGAGCTCTTTGGTCTGGCTTGCCAATCTCCAGGTGGGGCCTGGAGACCTCCCAGAATTACAACTGATCTCCAGTTTGGTGGAGCCAGTTTGGTATAGTGGTAAAGAGCGTGGACTCTAATCTGGGAGAACTGGGTTTGATTCCTCACTCCTCCACATGCAGCTGCCGGTGTGACCTTGGATCAGTCACAAGTTCTTTCTGAGCTGTTCTCTCACGAGCAGTTCTCAGCCCAGCAGTCTGTTGTGGGGAGGGGAAGGGAAAGGAGATTGTAAGCTGCTCTGAGACTCCTTCGGGTAGTGAAGGGCGGGGTATAAGTCCAATTCTCTTCTCTCTTCTTCTTCTTCTTCAGTCTACAGAGATTAGTTCTGCTGGAGAAAATGGCTACTTTGGACAGTCGACTGTATGGCATCATACCCAGCTCCACCCCCGAATCTCTTAAGAATTTCCCAGCTTGGAGTTGGCAACTGGAGATTTGGGGGGGGGTGGAGCCTGAGGAGGGGGGGGTTTGGGGCCAGGAGGGACTTCAATGGGGGTATAATGCCATAGAATCCACCTTCCAAAGCAGCCATCTTCCCCAGGGGAACTGATCTCTGTTGCCTGGTGATTGGTTGTAATAGCAGGAGATCTCCAGCCACCACCTGGGGGTTGGCAGCCCTATTGGCAACCCTGTCTTTGGCCCATGGCTCAGTCTCTGATTGGCAATGACTTTATCATGAGGACCACATTCACAGAATGGAACAAGGGCTGAGGGGAGCCAGCTGCAGAGACTCAGGCTCATATAGGTGGGTGTTCCAGTCCCTCTAAGCTGTGGAGTCTTGTGAGCTAAAACTCTACTTTGTGAGCTCCTGGCATTAAAGTTGCGAGCGAGCCATTTGGCTACTGCATAAATCAGTTTGCTCTGGAGCCATCCTTCCTGAGCGAAGACAAAAATGCGTGAGCCAGAGGCTAAAAAACTGTGAGCGAGCTCACACTAACTCAGCTTAGAGGGAACATTGGTTCCAGCAAAGGGCTCCAACGGAGACTTTGGGAAAAGCTTCCTCCCCTTGTACACCTCCCAGCAGTGTCTTGGCTCACTTGGAACGGCAGAACTCTCCCAAAGCCTCTATAGTTTTCTGTTGGGGGGAGCACAGATTCAAGAACCTTTAAGGGGCACTCTGCTGAAAACCAGACTGAAAGCTTCTTGGATGGGGGGGGGGGGGAGTCTACTGCCTCTCCCTGTTCCAAGCCGAAGAAGTGACACTTCTGAAGCTGAGGGCAAAATAAGCCCCTGCCTGCCATGATGCGGGGGCAAGGCTTAAATGCATGTGTTATTGGGGGGGGGGGAATCAACAGGTAGGCTGTTCCATGTTGAATCCAAAGTACTGGATATATAAAGGTAAAGGTTTCCCTTGCTCAAAAGCCAGTCGAATCCGACTCTAGAGTTGTGGTGCTCATCTCCATTTCCAAGCTGAAGAGCCAGCGCTGTCCAGAGACGTTTCCATGGTCATGTGGCCGGCATGACTAGATGCTGTGGCGCACGGAACGCTGTTACCTTCCCACCGAAGCGGTACCTATTTATCTACTTGCAATTTCTTGCTTTCGAGCTGCTATTTTGGCGGGAGCTGGGGCCAGAGACGGGAGCTCACTCCGTCATGCAGCACTTGGGTTTCGAACTGCTGAACTACTGACCTTCCAGCCTGCAGTTCAGCATCTTAACCACTTGAGGCACCACAGCCCTTACTGGATATATAAAAGGGGTTAAACCGACAGCTTTCCCTGGGCTCACTCAAGAGGAGGTTGGAGAGCCTAGGTTTTGGGATTTCAACAAGTCTCTTCATCAGAGGACGAGAGAGGTGGCAAAAAGGTACTCAGGGGAAGGGCAGAGCTAGGCGATGAGCTGCTGGGAAATGCGATTAATTGAGCCACTTAAATCTGAGCCTTGGTCCACCTGCCTAATCTCTGATTGGCTCTCCAGGGACTCAGGCAGAGACAGACCTTTCCCAGCAAAGCCGTAGGCTCACTGCTCGGGTTTTAGCCCTTCACTGGCTTATGGGAGGACACGGGGCGGCTTTATGAAACCATTTTGTGCTGCCCCGCCAAGGTGGCTGGGGAGTAATTGAGTTGCCCGGGTGCTGAAGAAGATTTACAGAAGGTTCAGCCAGGGGAGCAAAAACAGGTACCTGCATTCCTCGGCTGACCCAGGTGGGTCAAGAGGAACGGCAGGAGTACGCCCGTTTTAATAAACAAATAGAATAAAAGGAATGCGACGTTACCTGTTCTGTATGGTATGGAGTGGAGAGTTCACTTCAGTGATGGGGGGGCTCTGGCAGGGTTGGAACGGAGAGCTGCCCGGGGTTGGCTAGAGAGGGGCGGATGACCAGAGGCAAACTTGGAGGGGCCACGATCAGGCCCGTAGCTAGGATTTTTTTTAATTCGGGGGGCCTTTAAATAAGTCAGGGCCCAGGGGCACCCTGCAGCCCCCCCCCAAGGGAGCACCTGGGCTGGATGGGAAGTCAGGGGGGCCTTGGTGGCAAGTCAGGGGGCCGGGCCCTGAGATGCCCCACTGTAGCTATGGGCCTGGCTGCGATGCTGGGTGGGAGGGGCCGGATTCTTTGCCCGGCAGCCAACCTCCTGCAGGCTTTTTTCTCTCCAGGAGATGCGGGAGTATGAAGTCTCCATCTAGGGTGGCGCCACCCTCGAGGTGGGAGCCGGAGGGGCAGGCCCCACTCCTGATTCCGTGTCGCCCTCCACCCTCTCCACGCGCCAACGACTGACTCCGAGGCCGACCGACCACCTGCAGTGGCAAAGACCAGTGAAGACCTCCCAACCATCCCTCAAGACGGACCTCCTGGGGAGAGAAATCAGACCTCTGTACCAGCAGCCGGCAGAAGCCCCCCCCCTCCCTCCCTCCCTCCCTGAGGCTTCCCCCTTTCGGGCCTAGCTCTGGAATGGAGTCAGGTCTGCGCTCCGCGTGGCAGACAGCCCGTGCCTGCTTCTACACCCATCCGTTGTGTCCTTTGGAACCATCTCCAGCATCCTGACCATGGT